TCTGGGTGTGGCTACTTGCTGGCTGTGGGGAGAGGGAGTCTCTGCTCCATTGAGGCTTCCAGAGGGGGAAGCCCTCTCTGCCTCTTACCTATTTTAGGATGCCCACAAAGACGTATGTCCTGGTGCTGAGCAACTGAAAAATGGCAAATGTCCACTAGACTATTCACACTCAGGAACAGGCGCACGTTATACTTGAGAGCAAGGCTGCGCTTTTGAAGAATCTTAAACCCCTGGGTAAAACTTGGAAGCTGCCCATTCTTGCACATAGAAGAAGTGTGTCTTGGTTTTTTTTCTTTCAATATTATATCATGAACATTTTTGCTACACTTTGACATCAGACCCACACCTCCGTGTGGTCAATATCACTCAGGAAAATTTCCTGGTGGCTGCTGCTTTGTACCTTTTCCTCCTCTTATTCATTCTCTTGAACAATATCATTGCCATGCATATACTTCTTACCTTCTTCTCCCTAACGTACCAAGTACTTACAGTCTAGGAGTATAAGCCTGAAGATAGTCTCCTGACGATGTCTAGGCACATCCTCCTCTCCTGAATATACAGAGGTGGCAATGTGACTCATGAAGTGATTCATCGTTTGACTTGTTTTTCAAGGTGTGGTAATGAGTTTGTTCTCCCCAGGCTTCTGCGGCCTATTGGATACGTCTGGCCATTGTCTTCTGCTTTGCCAACTGACGTGGGCTGGTGTCAAATTTTACCCTCAGCCCCGTAATGTTGAATTCCAAACACAGAGCTAAGTGGCCTGGGGAGACAGCACTTAAATGCTCTGAAATAGCTGAGATTATTAGAAGAAGGAGATTAGAAAGAGAGAAACCAAAGGAAAGTTTATGTTTTAAGAAAAATAGGATAGAAAAAAAACCTCCCATAATTTGAAAAACACACCCTTTGTCTCTTTCAATATGACTCCTCTTTCTTGAATATCTAGAACCTTCTGAAAGAAAGGTCTAGAAAGTTCCCTGTGTCAGCTCTGGTCAAAGCCTTTAAGATGCAGACCTTGGTCAGCGTGGCTTAGATACCAAGATTGGCAAAGGCAAAAGCAAATAAAGAAGGCTTATAAATGTCCATGCCCTCTGGCCCAGGAATTCCACTTATAGAAATCTAGCCTTGGGAAACAAGCAGAGATGTGGAAAGGAGATTCATGTACAATGATATTTACCCTAAGCTAATTATAATAGTAAGAATTTGGAAACAATCTAAAAGTCCAACAATAGTGTAGCTAACATGTACTAAGCTTTCAATGTGTGTAAGGCATGGTACCAAGTACTTCATATAAACTGTCCCATCAGACCTCAGGAGTGAAGTGCTGTTATCATCCCATTTTACAAATGAAGAAACTAAGTCACAGAGAGGTTAAGCAACTTCCCCAGGGCCATGCAACTCCGAGTGGTGGAGCCAGGACTTGAACTGACTTTTGTCTGAGTCCAAAACTGGTATTTGAAACCAACAAGCTATACAGTTTCTCAATGGGGGAGATGATTGAATAAATACAGTACAAACATGATGAAATATTAAATCGTCATTAGTATGATGGTTTTGAGCAATTTTTAATAAAATGAAGAAAATGAATCATGATATAATATTGAAAGAAAAAACACCGAGACACAACGTTTAGTCAAGAGCACGATTTCCACCAGGGCACGGACCTACACAAAAGACTGATGACAAATATAAAAAATGATTGCTTCTAGTTTGTGAGCAAAGATAAAATTGTACTTTCTTCTCTATACTCTTTTATACTTTTCAGGCATCCTATAATTAGCATGTATTGCTTGTATAATCAAGGAAAATAGTTGGTTGTCAGAAGAAAATAACTCCAGGCTAGAAGATTCTAGGAATCAGTGCTAAATGGGTTTGCCCAACCATAGCTCGTTGGGGTGGGGTCCGGAGTCCTGCAAGGCCAAGCAGCTCTAATGCACTGTGGCCCACCCCCAGAGGAGCCACAGCCAAGTTGCAGCGTGGAAGGGGCTGCTCACAGGGCTGCCTGAGCTGCCCCGTCTGGAGCTGTCCTGCTGCAGAAGTGATGTTATCAACTAATGGGGCCAGTGACTGGCACAGACTCGTGTCAGAGCTGGATGGGAATTTTCAGTCTTCGACCTTGACCAAGGTGACTCTGGGCAAGTCACTTACCCTTTTTAGGCCTTTGTCTCCTCACCCATAAAATGAGGACAATAGTATTTATCTGCCTGATTCGGTTGTTGTAAGGATTTAATGAAGGACAGCAGGTAAAGTCTAGTACACTACCAGGAACATAATTAGTCCTCAATAAATGGTGGCTTAAAAAGAATAACAAACACATTTTGCCCCATGGCACACACAGAGGGAGGCTGGGAGACTGATTGGGCATCATCCCGAGGAAACAGATGGAGTACATTATGGCTAACACTGAGTCCTTTTGCACAGATTTGATTAAATTAGGCTGGTATTCATTGGGCCAAAGAATATTGTTATGTTATGCTCCTAGCTCCGTCCAAGAATAAGGAACCACGTCTTTTTGTTTGAAACCACTCTAACTTCCTCTGAATACGTCTTCTGTAAGACCAACTCTAAAGTCCAATGTCACTGTGTGTAAGTTACATAAAAATTCTTCCCAGATTACAGACGATTTGAGATTTCTGAGTATCCTCAAGTGCGTGCTGTGGAGTAATAAGCACCATTTAATGTTCTGCTGCAGGGGCAGACTTGTCTCATTATGGACATAACACCATAGACGTTAAATAAATAATGAAAACATCATGAGACTTTTCTAGCACGTTAGGCAATCCACTGATGACCGGAGCTGGAATAAACAATGTTTTTCAGCCATCGAGGCTCTGTGTGTGTGTGTGTGTGTACATCATTCTGTGTTCGTGAATGCTTTTGTGTGTTAACATTCTTGGAAATACTATAAAATACTAACAGCGAGTGGATTAAAGGGATGGCATTAGGGATGGTTCTTTTTCTCTCCCTTTTGTTTTTCTTGTTAAAATTCTTTTCTCTCTTACACTTACTGCTTTTATAATGAAAACTGTTAAGTATGATTTTAAAAGAAATGACATAGCCACTTGGTGGCGGTATGCTGTGAAGAATATAGTCTATATGGCTTCATTTCAATCCTTTGCCTAAAGATTTTGTCATTGGCTTGATTCTTCTCTGACAATCTTGTTTATCAACTGTTTTACTTCAGATATCTGAATCTTTGTGAAATTATCCTCTGATAATTAAGTATCTCTTTTAAATGACTTTAATTTAATCTAATTTAAATGAAAGCACTTAGTTGATTTGAAACTATGGAAACAAAAAGATTCTAAAGGAGGATGATGTTTATTCTCTATTAGGATTAATAAAGCCCTAGTCATATATGAATATTATTTTTATATGATGCAAATTAATAACTGAAGTTTCATTGCCAAATAACCTCCCGTAGTTTATGCAACAGAATTACATTAACCTGTATTAGGTTACAGCACCATGTACTACTTTTAAATAAAAATGCTAATTTTAAAATAATGAAAGTGAAAACAAAAATAATCCAGCAGCATATGCTATAAACCCATGATCTTGCCAAATTGAAAATTGTGTTACATTTTAACATAATATTTCTATTCTTAAAATTTCAAAGTAACGTAGATACAGACTCCTGCTTGGGATCCCTGAGAATGAACTTAAACCTATAAAATACTAATTTAGGTGAATAAACCTGGCTGTTGGCCGTTGGAGCCTAACCTGGCTCCCTCTGAGTTTGATGGAACCACATACTTGGGAATAAAAGAGACATAATGAAGCACTGAGAGGCCAAAAAGAATTTCTGATTTGTCACAATTCACAGTGAAATGTTTCCCTCTTGCTGCAGAGAAGCCAGAATAAAAACACAGGAAAGATCTTTTGGCTTTTCCGATGTTTTCATCTTCTAAAATTTCCTACCCATTATTCTTAGAAAACGACCTCTCAGTTGAGCCTGTGCCTGCACCCAGATCAGCCTTTTTCAAAAATTTCCAAAGACCCATAGGAACCTTTTTATGGGAACTCTATGATATTTTTCTCAAAGAGAGTTGCCTGGGCCGCAGGGCTTGTTACATAGGCCTGTGATATCTCAGTGGCAGTCAAGCATGCCTCAAGTTGTGATTTCTCCCTGGCCCCAAAAGTAATTCTTTAAAAAGAATTTGAACACTGAATAAATAGGGCTTGAGGCACTCTTGGGAATCCAGAGCTTAGAACCATTTTCAGGAATGTCGTCTGCCAGCTTGGGGAATCACGTCCTTGAAGTCGCCTCTGACAGCTTTTAATTATCAGGAGGGAGGAGAAGGGGAAGGAAGCTCCAGGACTCTTTCAAGTTCAGACTAAAAGCGAGTTAGTTGCCAAGGCTGCTCACCACACCCTGGTCAGAAGCTTTCATCAGCAGTGTCCTGACAGCCTTTATGACTAGACAGGGCTGGCCAGGATCCTTGCCAGTGGGAAAGGAGCAGAGGGAAGTCATTAATAGCATTCCATCCCTGTGTTACGACATCAAAGTGGCTGCTAATCAAAACTTCTTATATGGAGCCAAGATGCTGTTCCCCAACAGCATCTCAAAGGTTGTGCAAAGGCAGAAGTGACACATCTTGGAGGCTCTTAAGGAAACCTGAACTTTATTGCATCATCTACTGGAAGGAATCAAGTAGAGACCAGTTATTGTGCATTTTTCTGGCTCAGTGAATGAAGTAAAGCTCCTTGGTATTTGTTGCCTAGAAGCCTCATGAAATTAGCGGACATGCTTGGAAGTTTTACAAACCCTAGGTAGTTTTCATTGTCTTTTCAGTGTTTTCTTCTTTGGGATTTACCCAATTAAATAAAAAGGAGCAGAGACACACATACTTGAAGGACAGTGCTTTTAGTCCATCCTTCAAGCCTGTTAAAGTTACTGTTTTACTTTAATCATCTCCAAATAAGTGAAGAAACCCTCTTAGGAAATTGGGCAACCTGACTGCAAGATGTAAGAAACTGACGCTATCCTCCTTTTTTTTAAGTTCCCCAGGACACGTGGAAATCATTCCAACATGATACTCGGAATTCTCGGCTTCTGATTACTTCCATCTTTAAAGGACACCTTACTTCTGGTGAGAAAATACTACTTAGGTTTTTTGAGTATTCTTTGCTAATCATCCCTTGAACCCTCCATATTGAAAAATCATGTGTCAGCCATAAGTTTCTAGATGATAAGACTATATGCTATATGATTTCTACAGGAAAATAGTCAACAAAGATATGCTTAAAATTGAATTTAAGGAGTGATTTGGGTGGATTTTGCCAGCTTTTGCTATGAGTTGGATACATTTTCATTTCAATAGGTGCTGGGGCTCAAGACCCCAAAATGTCTTCTTTCTAAAAAAATAATACCATTATTTGAGTGTCTACCATGTGTTAGGAGTGCTATATACATCATCTTTTTCAATCTTTAAGACGAGATGGGAAAACTGGAGCTCAGAGAGTTTAAGGAACTTGTCCAAGGTCACACAGTTGCTAAGTGAAAGACTAAAATTCAAATTCTGTTTTTCAAATCCTGAAGTCTCTGCTCTTTCTCTTATACAAACCAGCTTCCATTTTATTGGTTAATATGACTCAGTATTTTCCGCTGGTGAGCATAACTAAATGTTTTAGGCATAAAAAGATATTAGATCAGGTTAGGCAATGGGCAAATATAACTCTAAATAGAAATTTCAAATTGAAAACCTTTAGGCCTGACTATTTCACCACTGACCACGCATAGACCATTTGTCTCCTTGCGCAGAAACCTGGCAGGAATAGTATAAGAACTTTTGCAGGTTATATTAACAACATATTATATTCTTTGGACTTTCGTTTATTTACTCAACAAATATTCATTAAGCACTACTATGTGCCAGGCACTGTCCTGGGTGCTGGAGAATCAGCAGTGAAAAAAGGAACATAGCCTCTGTCTTCATGGAGGTTCCATTCTAGATAGATGGGGGAGAAAAAGAAAACAACAAGAGAAAGTCAGGTGGCGGTATGTGCTATGAAGAAACATGAAGCAAGGTAAGGGCGCCCTGAACTTGTAGATGTCAATCAACTAGGAGCAAAGCGCTAAGGTTCAGAACTGACCCCTAATTACAGACGCCCACACAGACCTGCACCTTGATATCTGTGTGGAATCGTGGTGGCTAGGAGCTCACTGCAGCCTATTAGATAGGTATTATTATTTCTATTTGACAGAAGAGGAAACCGGCGTTTCAGCAAGTTTGTAACTATGCCCCGAGGTTACGGAGCTGATAAATGGCAGTCCACTTCGAACCCAGGTTTCTCAGGTTGTGCTCTCGGTCACTCTGCTCTCCTCCTTATATCCCTTTGCTGGCCCCATGTTAACGTGAGGATTCTCTATCCTCTTCCAGGCATGAGTGGCGAAGGGTATGTGGCAGCCAGGATCCCCCATTAGTTGCTTGAAATCGAGTTTTAGTCTTAGGAAAGCACTAATTCCCTAACCCAGTGGGACTGCCCCTGCCCACCAGTCAGCTTTAGGAGAAGGACTGGACAGCTTGGAGACCCCCAAGTGTATGGTGGGTGCAGCTGGGAAATAAGCAGGGCCTGGCCCATATAGCATCTGCCACATGGTAAGTATCCCATAAACATTTGCCAAAGGGAGGGAGGAAGGCAGGAAGAGGATGTGAGGGACGCCAGTACCCAGCATGGCTCAGAACCAACTCCAGTGTGATATGTCTCAATTATAGTCTATATTCGAAAATAGGGTTTTTCATGTACTAGGGAAAAAATGTGATGACCCTGGTAGGTAACACATGTTGAATATATTATATTAATTATTTAAAAATTTCAGGTGATTAAGTCAACTTCAAAATGCAAGAAAAGCATTGTTTTTAACATAAAATGTGAGTGCAAGATATATAGCAATTTGGATTTCTTTCCTATAACATAGATTGTTTTCAGTAGAGTGAATGTCTTTTCTCAGCAGGAAAAAATTCATGAACAATAGAGTTTGAAGAATGATGACAAGTGGTACATTACTTCTGTCTTGAACAAAAGGTTAAAAAAAATAAAAACCTCAGTTTTGATTGTGGCCAGCTTTAGACTCTGTTACAAGCAACTATAAATTCTCACTTATGTCAGACAAACCAAATGAGGTTCATCACTAAACATTTTTATATAAAATATGCATGCCTAAGCTCAGAAAAATGTCTAATGCTGACCACATTGGCCAGAGATGCACTTCTAGAGCCCACTGATATCAGACACATCAGCTCAATTCTCAAACCAAAGGTAACCTGAGGTTTGAAAGGGCGTTCACTTTATAGCTCAAGGTAAAGGTTAATTTTGTTCCCCACTTCCTCTTTTCCTTTGAGACCAATGACCTTCACTTTGAGCAGAGTAGAGAGAATGATGATTCTGGCATCACATGGACGTGAATGCTTAGCTAAAATTATTTCTCCTTCCTTTCAGACAACAGGCAACAAGACATTGGACTGTTATCGGGAATGGTCTTCTTTGCCGTTATGTTGTCAATTCTTTTTTTGATTGGGATCTTGAACAGATCGCTGCGAACTGGGTAGGTTTTTGTAGAATTTCTGTTTTCTGATTTAGACCATATATTTGTGCCACCAAAATGTAGTCAATTCAATTATTTCCTAGAAAATTCCATAAACATTTTTATTCAGAGAAAGGAAAAACAAAAGGATCAGTGTTTAATGAGTACCTACTCATGCCAAACTCTTTACAAACACCATTCATTTATCCTCACAATGACCCTGCCAGAAAACCTCGAAGGCCTGTTTCACAGACGACTCACGTGTGGCTGTGTGTTCTCCTCATACCACTTCATGGTGAAGTGTGTGCAAGAGAAGTGGCAAGGTCTGAATCCCTCACTTTTATACCAGTTGTGTTGGGGTTTTAACATCTAGCCCCAAGGCCCCTTCTCTTCGGCCTCCTTCAATCATTTTTTTCCAATATGGTATTAGTAAAGATCTATGCCTAGTTATTGAAAAATGAGACTTTGAGGAGCACAAGGCCTTCAATTTCATAAATTTTCTTAGCTGCCCTGAGTATTTCTAATCTGCTAATAGACTAGAGTTGTTTGATGGGGCAGTCTCCCAGCACATCTGAGGACTCACAGATTTTAACACATAGGAATGTTCTTTGCCCAACTGGCACTGGATTTCTCTATCTTGCCATCATTTGCTTCATAAGATAATCTTTCTTTTAAATTTATAATTGCAATGCAGTAGAAAGATTTATAATAAGCTATTCTAAATAAAGTATACTACTAATTTTTTTTGTTTGTTTATGTGGCTTTTCTCTCAGAACTTAAGTATTTAAATCACACATTAAAAAATGTGTACCCTTGTGAGGTGGGCTAACTAATAAAGAACTTTGTTTTAGGTTGTTTTAATATATACTTGAATATAAAGCCCTTTGAAATATCTTAATGTTCAAACTTGTACCACATAAAAATATTAATATTTGTATTATTACCCAAAGATGTCCTAGTGTGAAATTTTAAATAACATCAAGTTTGTTACTAAGAATAACCTAAAAATTAACTTCCCATTGGTAATGACAAATAAGAAAATAGGACAATTCTTTGCTAATTTAATTATTTAAATAAGTATTCTTTTTAAAAAGATAAAAGAAATGGGATAATTCCAATATAACTATTTTACATATGAGCAGATACTGTTATTTACTATAACTATACATTATTTATAAAAACCTTACTTCAGAAATACAACTGGAAAATGGAGGGTAAAACATTTTAAATAATGAAACCAAGAGTGGGTAGATATATATATATGTTCTCACTGTATCAGCATGCTGTATAAAAAACTTTTCTACAATAGTGTGAATTTACTAATTTTGTCTAATTTTAGATATAGAAAGAGAGTGTGAATTAGCAAAAAAAAAGCTGAATCATTAAACATTGTATAGATATGTGTAAAGAAATTATTTTTACCCTGAAGTTCAAGGTCAAATTGGGCTTGCAAAGCTCATCCAGCCATTTTAGTTGTTACTGAGTAAAAGTCCTTAGAGAAGCGGCCTAAACAGATAAACAAGTCAGATCTGTGGTTAACGGATCCATTGTTGACACTTAAAAATGTGCCAGAGATCAGCTTAGTCTCTTCTAAATTCCTGGTCAACCTGTTTGCCCAAGTCAATTTGTACTGTAAACGCAGAAAGTGTTTTCAACACAGTGGTGGTGCCAAGGGGTAGCTAGCCTGGGGGCAGAAGTAGGGCGTTCACAGCTTCTCCCTCTTCTTTCCATCACCCCACCCCAGGGATCCTTCATAAGCACCCAGCCTAAGTAAAAACCAGCATTCTCGCTGCACCACACAACTGCAGGACAGTGTTCAGCCTCCTACTCCATCCACAGCAACAAAGTTTGGCGCCATCACTATCATCTCAACACTACTTGGAGTCACTACAAGTTTAGAATTAGAGGAGCTGGAAGTATACAGTTTTATTACCTAACATTCTCTTCTTTATATTTTTCTGTGGTTATGGTCACCTTGGAAAGTTCTACAAAATATCCCTTAAGTCTTCCAGATTTTTCCACACTGATCTCTCCTGCTTATAATGGTTGGCCACATTTAACATGTGTACAGTATCACTTCCAGGGTGGTTCTCCCACTTATCTCAAATCTAGTGTGTTTTTAAATGTTCCAACTCATTAGAGAGAAGCAGAGCAATAGAGAAAGGAGGAAAATCTGAAAAGATATTGAAGCAGCTTCCCATTTAACTTTTTAAAGTAAGAGATGGAAATCTTTGCTCACGCATCAGAAAGTTTTATTTTTATTATGCATACCATTCTAGTTGATTTTCCAATCTTCTGCATGATTGCCTGCACCAGTCCTAAAGTAAAATGCTTCTTCTATTGCATCATTTTTGTTTTTTAGAATTAAACGAAGAATCTTCTTGCTAATACCAAAGTGGCTTCATGAAGATATTCCTAATATGGAAAACAGTAATGTTGTGAAAATGCTACAGGTAACTAAAACCATCAAATAAAAACTAAGTGGCAGCTGAGACCAAGAGTGTAGTCCAATAATTAGAGTAGAATTTCTGTTCAAATTAACAAATGTGTGCATATTAGCATAACTATATAAACATATGTAGAAACAAAATTATACATATCTCAAATCATACTTAAGAGAGATGAGAGAATGGAGTTAGGGGAAGAAAAGAGACATGGAAGAAAGAAACAACACTATTCACAAGAGAAAAGTAAAGTGGAAGATGGTGGGCCAGGTGCCGGAGTCACTTGGTGGCCAAGCAATTTGGTAGGTGTCTTCAGGCATGAAAGGAAGAGGGCAGAAAAGCTCAACAGAATGAGCTGCAAAGACACAAAAGGGGCCTCCATTTCACCTGAGATTGGAGAAGTAGATGGATCCCAAGAGGACACCACTTCACTCCTTGAGACCCAGTGGAATTAGAGAAAATAAATGTGAGAGGACCGTGGGAGATGGGGTCAGATGGTGTCACCAGGGGTGGGCCAGGTTTCCAGTTCAGCAAAGAGAAGGGTGTGCTGGGAAGACCCTTAGGATATAGGGGACTTTGTGGGTTATGGAGGAACCGCTGCTGATTGTGGGGGAGGGGAAGGAATGTGCTCTGTGTGCTCCTTCTACCTTCCGGCACTCTGGCCTGGCCGACAAAGGGCTCAAAACCCAGTCGATGCGACAGACACACCATCCAAGCATTGCAATCTGGTGATGTAAGTGCAGTGACAGAAATGATGGGAGCATAGAGGAAACACATTGAAAGATGAGAAGGAGTCGCTCAGGAGAAACAGAGAACATTCAAAATAGAGAGGACAACAAGAACAAAAGCACAGAAGTGAGAAGAGCGTGTTGTGTGTTGCTTTATCGAAAAACTTGACGTGAGGAGTGGCTGGAATAATGCTGGAATGGTGAGTGGGATCAGGTCACAGAGGTCTTGTTATGGAACTCAGACTTCGTTCTGTTGACCAATAGTTTTCAAACTTAAATTTTTTTTTTTTTTTTTAGCCTAGGAACCGTTTGTTCAAATGATGTAAGGAAGATAAGTATTTGTAAAACAAATAAAAGTGGCTCTATTTGGAGCTCTGGTAGGCCCATTAATCAACTCCTTCCCCAGCCCCAGAGAAGTCCCTAAGACAACAGTTCTCAGCCTTGGTTGCATGTTAGGTTCCCAACACCCAGGCCACAACCCAGGATCTCTGGGGGAGGGAGGGTTGGGGACACATAGGCTTCCCAAGTGATTCCACTGCACAGCCAATGTTGAGAACACTGTTAAGGGGTTGAAAACTACTGCTTAAGACAATGAGGAGTCAGTGAGGAGTTTTCAGTTGGAACAAACGTGGTCCGAGGAAGGAGGCAGAATATGATGGTCAGAGAAATGAGTGTAGCGAGGTGTGGGCAAAGTGTCGAGAAGCAAGGCTCCACCATGCTGACCACTTTGTGGAGGGTCCATAATGGAGGAAGTGAAGTGAGTCTGCGGAATGTGACAAGGAGCAGGTCACTGGTGATCCTGGTCCAGAGGCTCAGTTGAGAAGTGAATGGAAAGTGAGGAAGTGAAGACTGAGAATGGAGACATCTTTTGATGGGTGTAGACTAGAAGGGAAGTGAAGAAAAGGGCTATGCTGACAGGGGTAAGCTCTCAAATACTCATGGAATGAATAACAGTAGCTCCAGAGGGGTATGGAGTCAGCAGCGTGTTTGTACTAAATTGGACAGGCTTGAGAAGAACTATCAAGGAGAGAGAGGGGAAATTGATCGAACAATACTGTGAAGAAGAGGGGAGGGGATGGTCTGAAGGGATGAGGTGGAAATGTTCAGCTTGAGCAGGAGGAGGGATCCTTGATATTTGAAGGAGAAAAAGGAGTGGACGGGGCTAATTTTGAAGGAGGTAATCCTGCCTACTAACAGTGGAGGGATGATCTAGAACAACTGAACCCACATATGTAAGGAAGTACATAGTTAATTAACCGAAGGACAAGCGTATATTCACCAAACTACAGGTACTGTAGTCTTGACACTCATTCCGCTGACAGATCTATCTCGCTCCTCCAGGAATTACCCTAGGGAGTCGGGGACGCCCGCGGCTCAGAGCGTCGTCCCTGACCTGGTTGTGATCAGATCCCCTTCTTCCTGTCCTGTCCTCACGCTGGAATACTCCCCGTAGCTTTTCTGTGTCCTCCACTGTGGTCCTGCTTCTACCCACTTCTCCACTCAGCCTGAAGGGAACGCCTCCTTCCTCAGCACACAGCCGCCTTGCTTTCCTGGTTTCCTGTAGCACGTCTAGTTCCTTGGACTTCGTCTGACCTTGGACTACATGTCTGCCCATCCCAACCCACACTTCGAAAGTTCCCTGGGGAGGCTGAGCCTGAAGAAAATTTGAATGACACTTCACACTGCTTTGTCCAAGGTCTTCCTTTTTGCCAAACTTCCTTCCCATTCTGGGCTCCTGGAATTAGAAGTGAACCCTAGGGTTTCCCTCAGATGAGGTTTTGTTTTCTGCCCAAAGACTAAGGGGTAGTGTTCTAGTCAGCTCGGGCTGCTGTAAGAGAATACCACAGACTGGGTGGCTTAAACATTTATGTCTTACAGTCCTGGAGGCTGGGAAGTCCAAGATCAAGACACTGGCCCATTTGGTTCCTGGTGAGAGCTCTCTTGCAGACGGCTGCCTTCTTGCTGTATCCTCACATGGCAGAGGGAGAGATCATCTCTCTCACATCTCTTCTTATAAGGGCACTAATCCCATTCATGAGGGCTCTACCCTCATGACCTAATTACCCCCCAAAGGCGCCACCTTCCAATACCATCACATTGGGGATTAGGGCTTCAACATATGAACTTTGGAGGGAAACAAACATTCAGTCCATAGCAGGTGGCTATGGTTTTATAACCGTGTTGGGTGAGAGTTATTTGCCCTGGGAAGCCAGCCATCAACTGGAAGGCCTTGAGTCCTTTCCTTACCCAGAAGAATCATCAGGCTTTTATACAAATAAAAACCTCCCTCCACCTCCTGATCATCATGAACATGTCTGAATTGTGAGTGCCCACACACGTTTAGAAATGCAGCACAAAGCATTTATTACAATCTTATTTTCAAATGGAAGCAAAATAGGATTCTCCTCTCTCCATTTCTTTTATTTAAGCAACAAAATATTTTCTTATAGTAAGCCTCCATGATTTTAAGAAATATTCTAACATATTCTAAAATCCAATTTTTAAAGGCCCTGAAATAATGTGCAAGTTAATATGCAAGACACTTCTTCCTCTTTAAAATTTTTAAACCAAGACATGTGCTTAAACTATGGATTATTTTTATTGTTCCTTTGCTTCAGCTCCTCATGGCTGAATTTAACAAAGATTTGGAATCGAGCAGGATAACACAAAAGTGGGAAATCGTATGGGAAGAGAAACAAAAGAAGAGGGAGGGGAGCGAAAGGCAAGGGAAAGCAGAATTCCAGTGCTTCTTCAGTTGCCCAGTTGGCCCCTTTAAATGTCTTTTGTAAAATAAAACGTCTTTTCTTCCCAGGAAAAAAGTGAATTTATGAATAATAATTCCAGCGAACAGGTCCAATATGTTGATCCGGTGATTACAGAGATAGAAATCTTTCTCCCAGAAGAACACGAGCCCACGGCCTACAGGAAGGACAAGGATACAGGCTCCCTGGAGGCCAGAGGCTGCCTGCAAAAGTCACTGCTCACCAACACAACAGTCGTGTATATTCCTGACCTCAACACTGGGTACAGACCCCAGATTTCAAATTTTCTCACTGGGGGAAACCATCTCAGCGATGATGATGAAACGGCTTCCTCAACCTTCAAACCAGTAGATTCCTTAGACCTGGGAAAGAATGCCAGGGTTAAAACATATCCTAATTTTCCTCTCTCTATCTCAAGTATGAATTCACTAAGCAACAAACTATTTTTTGGAGAATTAAGCCTCATTTTAAATCAAGGAGAATGCAGTCTTCTGGACACGCAAAGCTCAGCAGAGGGAGAAAGCACTATGCTTCTAGAAAATACTTCACCTGACGAAACTGTTCCAGAACAGAACCTGCTGCCCGATGAATTTGTCTCCTGTTTGGGGATCATGAATGAGGAGCTGCCGTCTATTAATTCTTATTTTCCACAAAATATTTTGGAAAGCCACTTCAATAGGATTTCACTCTTGGAAAAGTAGAGCTGTGGCGTCAAGACGAATTCCGGGACAGCTGCCTTGCAATCCGAAGTTGGAGCTCCCCCTCCATGTAAATTCAGTTCTGCCTGCTCTTCACAATTAGAAAATTGAGATCCAAAGACAGAACATACTTCATGGTCACAAAAGCAGCAGCAATATTAGTGACACCACCTGTACTTTTTAAAAAGTATCAACTATATCCTTTCTATTTTCCTTCATTGCAAGGAACAGAGCAGATCTCTCTGTCGCATGAAGGATAAATAATACAAAATATGTGGTCATGAAATAAATGCTGAAAATTCTCTTGAGTAGATAAAACTAGAGCCCCCAACAACAAAATAAGTAAAGGATAGAAACGGAGGAGCCATTAACTAGCATGTTTGCTGTATTATTTTTTTCTATCACTTTCCATTCAGGTGTTAGGGATTTGAACTTTCCTTATTTTGATTTTGGACTGAGAGAGCTATAAAACAGCAATGTGTGCAAGTCATGCGGTTGCTGTCTTCATTCAAGTTAGAGCAATGGCATTGTTCTCCTGTGGCGTAGTTGGTGCATTAGTTACACTGTAGTAGAGTTAATGAGGTAGCAGACGCAGCACATCAAAAGATGAAACTATTTGTTTTGTAATCAACTATGTATTAGATATATGTCAGAGAATTATTGTTAAAACAGACATTTTCCAAATCTGGGATGGCAATACTTGCCATACTGCCCCGTATCCCCGTCTCCTGCAGACCTTGCTAACTGATCACCATGTGCCTTCCTGCCGAGCCTAAGGTGGCCTCAGAATCCTCTCAACACAGTGCTCCTGATTGCCACAGTCAATAGGGCTGGGACTCGAGATGAACTCTATCTGCCAACCAGGCCAATATTGAAAGGTGAGTGATCTTAAAAACTGAAATGCGTGTTTTAAGCTGAGAAATGGTACCCAGCAGACTTCTCTATTCTGATTAATTTTTATGGTCAAGGGGAAAAATTTTCTATCAGAACAATTTGGAAATAGGGTAGATTACCCACTGAATTTCTCTTTCTCTTCTGACAGTTGTCAAAAATAACAATTTACATTCAGATGTAATAGCTTAATTTTATTATAACACTTCAAGCAGTTAAACAAAAAGGACTAGTTGCCTACCATGTGTTTAGCATACGAGCAAGCTAATTTTGTTTTTTTGTCATTAAGTGTCCCCATACGGAGGATGACCATACATCCTGGTTTGTCCTGGTTTCTGTGTGTTGTGCCAGTGTTAATTATGACCAATGCACCCTTCTCTCTCAGAAGCACCCCATTGTGATGATAAACAATATGGCCACTCCATCTATGAAGACTGTTTAATGTCCAGCATATAAGCGATTTATCACAATTCATCTCTTTTTTTGCATTGACAATCCTCTTTACTTTGCATCATTTACTAAAGCCATTTTGCCGCAAAATGGATCATTACTATTCACAGTGTAAAAAAAAAAAGTATCCCCTGCTGTGAAATTCTAATCTAGTTATCCTAAAATGTGTATATATTTGTTGTACTTTACGTATTCTGAAAGGAGTATATTTTAAATCACTAATGAAATGCTAATATTAAATATTTTGACTTGTAAATAATTGTATGTCTTTGCTTTATTCCTCTCCAAAGAGAGAACATCATGAAGCAAAGAGGCAGGTAGTATTTGAGATAGAAATAACAAAAGACAGACAAATCTTTGATGTTTACCAACCTGTTGAAGACATCTGTTAACATGTGAGAAATATTTTCATAGTGTATTTCAGTATGATTGTAACTTTGCCGCACATCAAAAAAGCTTTTGTCCGGCCTAAAGGATGCCAGCGTTATTTGATGGCATGGGCTTCCGCTGCAGTGCACGTCTCCTTTAGGACTTCTCCTTCTGGCCCCCTGGAGTGAGAAGGGGGCTGCTTTCTCTTCCTATAGTGCCTTCCCCACACCCACATCACTATTCAGCGAGGAGGAGACACTTCTAGTTTCATCTGTGCCATTAGCCTTTGTTTGTCTGGACGGACTAAACATTGAGGCTATGCCTGTAACGGAGGCAACGTTCCCGCCGTTGCCGCAACTCAGGGAAAATTTCAACTGCTTCATCACAGTGCAACCTTGGTAAAGGGGCAAGGGCTTTCTTTCTCCGATTCTTTTACTGAACACGTACTCGCTGAAGTATTGAATGTCCCTACTATGTGCAAGACACTTTAAGCAATATGGACGTTAACAAAAGCAGCTAAGTGCCTGCAGCCTTAGGGCTTGTATTCTAGGGGCAAAAACCAGATGACACGTGGGGCCAATCCTTGTCCCTCAAGGAGCCTACATTTTAGTGGAGAAGGGGGTGAGAATAGATGGAGAGAGGCATAAAAAAATAAAGAGGAGAAATGCCAGATAATAGTAAGTGCTGTGTAGAGGTGTAAAATGGGATGATGTGGTGGAGAGCGACTTGGTGGCCACGTTATGCTGGGCAGTCGGGGAAGGTCGCTCCCAAGAGGGGACACTGATGTTGCCACCTGAATCGTAGGTAGGAGGCAGCATGTGAGAATCTGCTTGCCACTGCTAAGTCCCTTCTATAGAGAACTTCTCCAGTGGCTAGTGTCTCTACTTCCTTCCCTCCTGTACAAGTTGCCCCAAACCCCACCCCCCTGCCACCTCTCCGTTCCTCAGCCAGAATTTTCTGTAGATTTTGGGGACAAGTGTGTATCTTTTCACATTTCCATCTAGCCCTTGGCATATTATCAACTTTCTCTGAGTCTTACACGCTTTGCAGGTCACTGCTTCCTAAATGGATGTGTCATGCTTATTGGGGTGGGTTAAGGAGAAGGAGCAGGAGAGAAAGAGGAAAAGAAAGCCCCTCAGATACCACTGAGAGGGAAGAAGGGGAGAGAAATACAAGGAAAGAAAGGAGGATTAATACTCAGTAAGGCTGAAGCAAAATGGAAAGTCGTAATTCTGGACAATACTAAATCTGATCGAGGGAGAGCCAATTTCCTCCTGTTCTAGAATCTTCCTTGTCCCACCTCCCTTTTCTTACATAGAAGCAACAGAGGGAGGCACAATTGAAGTACAGTTTTGGGGTGTTTTCTTGGTTTGTGTGGGTGTGCTTTATCCTGTCTTAAATTAAGAATTTGTTTCTACCAGAATTAGAAGTAATACTGATGATATAAGAAGGCTTATGTGTTTTTGCTGTTTGGCCCTCCCGGTTCAGAGGGTGTTCCCAGCGTCTTTTCTTCTGTTTTCAGTCATCCTCCCTTTGACATAGAGGCAGCACATGACTTTGGCATAGGGCAGAGGTTTTCAAAAATAAATTTTAGCAACTGATCCCCTTTCTCCAAATGAAATCTGTTGCAGAAGCCCAGAATGTAAAATGGGTGAATGCAAATCTCCAGTTGAAACAGGGGTTGAAGGTCATGCCTGCCTCCCCCCACCCCGCCGGAAGCTGCTGCCAGACCTGCAGGATAGAAATCCAAGACTGGGGCTCTCTCTGCCACACCTGGAGGAGCCTTAAGAAGCTCTACCTCAGATTGTACCAAACTCTCCATCTCAGCCACAAGGCTGCCAACTCAGGCGGAGGGGACCAGGACTCCCCCAAAACCTCCCTACACCCTGAATGACATTGTAAAAGGAGCTTTCTCTCAGAGACTAATAGAGGCAGTACTATATGCAACAATTAACTTGTTTCCTTCCAATTGCTTTATCATAAATGTCTGGGTTTTGTTCACATTTATGTTCTTTTTGTGATCACTAAGAATAAAATATTGTGCTGTGAACACAACTAGATTTTATAAACCTAAAGACTGTCGAATTGTGCTGCAGCTTACCTTGTTATGATGTAATCACACCAATTATAGGAGGTGATGTTTTAATGGGAAATGTTACCCACTTGGCAGACACTATTGATTTAAAATAAAAGAAGTGATTAAAAACAATTTATGGAGCTCTCTTGGGTAAAAGCATGAAACCAATATAAAATCATTGGATTGTGATTCATGGAGTGGACGGTGTGGGACTTTCTTAGATGCGATAGTTCAGACAATATTACAAGGAGACCCAACAAAGGTTTGATGGAGTGTTATTATGTCGCTCTCCTACTGCTAAGATTATACCATTAAATCCCAATTAACATTTCATGTTAGGACTCTTAGCCATTTTGCTAATTTCACTTTTCAACTTAATTTAAGGTAAATACTCTGCATCTTTTATATCCAGAATTTCCATCAATTTTCTGAAGATACACTTCCTTTATACTTATGTTCTGGAAAACAACTCATCATCTAATTCTCATAATTAGCATTTAGCAACAAATTAAGAACTTATTCTTAAATGGTCCGTTTTTGATAGGGGTAGTAAGAAGATTCTGGCCTCCTCACACACATGAGAAGAAAAAAAGAACTATACTAAGCAAATGTTGCAGAAACAGTTCTTTCCTGAGATCTTTGGTTCAAAACTTCAAGCAAAACAAGGTGCTATTCTGACCATAAAGGCGTACCTAAAATTAGTGCCTCTGTGGGAGACAGGAAGGAACTCATAAATAGTCGAACACTGGAACCTCAGTGTAAGATACGGAAGTCAATAAACCGGTCTGTTGTCTTTCTGTTCAACTCCTGCCTGAGAATTTTATTAGAAGTGAGTGAGAGAGAAAGAATAGTAGAATATTTTAAAAAAAATTATTTTTAAGCTACATAGTAATTCATGGAAAAACACTTTAAAAAGTCTAAATGTAAATGTAATGTAAATGGAGTGAAAAGTGACAGTCCCTCCTCACACCCCTGCTTCCCACGCCCCACTTGCATCATCGGAAGTAGTGACTCTCAACAAGTTGGTGTTTTTCTTTCTAATTTTTTTTTCACCTAAATGGTTAACATATGGTATCGTTCTGTGACTTGCTATTTCCACCTATCAATATGTCTTGGAAATCTTCACATGTCATTATACATAGCTTTATCTCATTCTTTTAAACAGTTGCATAGTGTTCCATAGAATAAATGTGTTTTAATATATTTACCTGTTCTC